GAGACAATTTTTTTTTTTTCAATAAATATCCAGTACCACCTTAAAAATTTGTCTTGACTGCCTCAAATCAATTCCCATAATCTAAGAAAATAAGTCAAGATATCAAAAAGTAAATGACGGTGAAAAAGAATATATATAACAAGGAAAAATTACACTCTGCTACTTAACTATCCGAAAATTTACGTGTTGCCTACAAAACTATCTTTTTATACATTTTGTCTACTTAACTTTGATTTTTTCGTATACTTTGCCATTTTCAGTCACCGTCGGCCTCATAAACTAACACGTGGCTTTTGTGCTTTATTGCCATGTGTGGCTGGCAGTGACCAAAAATGGCAAAATATACAAATAAATCAAAGTTAGGTAGGCAAAGTAGAAAAAAAAAAAAAAAATTGTAGGTAAGGCGTAAATTTTCAGATAGTTATATAGGCAAAGTGTACTTATTCCACAATGTAACTTCTAAACTTCAAAAAGACATTAAAAGGATTAACCTTCAAGTATTGATCGAATATCACAACATTTGGAAATTTCAATCTAACCTCAAATAACATATTGCAATACACCAGAGATTCTATGAAGCCATCAGATAACTCCCGTATGGAGTCATCCATAACTTTATGTACTGACACATGTCCAATTTGTATTTATCGCAGGACACGTGTCAATACATCATTTGTGAATAACAATTAAATGTTCCATAAGTCGAGTCATCCGATGGCTCCTTAGCAAAACTGTGCAATACACCGGTCTTGATTTCTAAGAAAGTATATCCTAATAGTTTCTATGTTTGCAATAATGGTAACAAAATTGATTGAGAAACTCAAAACTAGTGTAGCCTCAATGTATGAATGAAATTTGAGGCGTAAAACTTGAAAATGGCAACATTGGATGCTTCAAATGAAATGAAATTTTATTTGTGGTGTTTTTGCATTTGTCTAATTCTATAATCTGTGCTGAATTAAAAAAAAAATATATATATATATATATATGAAAAAAAAATAAAATGAAAAAAAGTAGACCTTAGGGGTTGATTGTTTATGAAATAATTTGTTCAAATAAATTATTTTAGTTAACCATAGTTAATTTTAAAAAGGTGGTATGGTTAAATGTTAGTGGAATTTTAAGAATGTATTAAAATAATATTTAAATAAAATAATTAAAGTTAATTTGATGTAAAAGTAAGAGATAAATGATTGAAAATGATTGGTAGTTAAAATTATGTGAGTGGATGAATAGTGAATTAAAGTTGATTTGATGTGTAAGAATGATTGGTTTGTATTTTTTAATTATATGAATAATATTAAAAATAGTGGGATTGAGTTAAAGTTGAGTTAGATTTTGAGATGAAATAAAATTGAGTGAAATAATTCATAAACAATCAAGCCCTTAGATACCCACATTGTCCTAAAGCATCCAAAAGACTTACGTTTGTCTTAGAATCACGAAATAAAATAGTACAAATTGATAGGACCCTTGACTTTTTCTAAGATCTATACATCAAAAGATAAAGTCATAAAGATTGTTATATATGGACCTTATATGGTTGTAGGCCTTAGTTGAGGCTTCTCCATTTGTCGTCTTGTAGACCACCTTTTATTGTCCTGTAATTTTAACATCTCGAAATAGAGATGATGTTACAGCTCCAAATGGAGAGAAAAGGTACTAGCATGGCCGGTTGGTTAAGAATCGAGTTTAGCTCAACTTATTTTGTTAATGAAATGGTATTTGACTCGGCTCGTTAAGTTTGAAAACTAGTGTTTTACGTAACTTTTTGAACTATTAGTTTGGTTCAGTTCGGTTATAAGCATGATATTCGGTAAAGATTCGAGCTTGGAGCTCACATATTAATTGGTTCGACATATATTGTGATTTGTGTGAATAATCATGCTACCGTGCATGCATACATACATAAAAACATATATAAAGCTTAAACGTCATTACAATGTGTCATTATTTTACGCATCACATTACTTTTAGAATCAACAACTATTAACCATACGCATCATTTTATTTCATCTTCTATTTCAATCGATCATGTTAAAAATTATGACATTTAAATGTGAAATTAAGTTTTTTATTTCAGTAGTTATGTCTATTGGAATATCACTTGTGAGTTGTCCCATATTGATTATATAGGGTAGATGAGCCTAGTGGGCTACTCCCCCCATCACCAATTGGTTTTGAGATGGAACCTCACTAAGGTGCATCTAAGTTCACCCTCTTGTGATGCGCTTCATCTGATAGGACCGCACTCTCTTCCCTCAGTTCTAATAATGTCATTTATCGATTATCACGAAAACTCATTCACTTGATCGTATCAAGGAAATCGTAATTTTCATATGGCAACCTTAACTTTGCCATCATCAGAAGATATAGAAACTAGACAAAGTTGCGCCCGATGAAATACATCAACATCAACATACCCAGTATATTCCCAACAAGTTGAGGTCTGAGGGGTCAGTTGTACGCAGACCTTACCCTTGTAATTATACAAAGAGACTGTTTCCATAGCGACCCAAGGTGCGCTGCGTCGTTTGATATATTTTTTTCTAGAAACTTCACTAGTAGAAGAAACACTAGAATTTAATTGAGCCATTTTGATCTAGTCCATTATTAGTACTATGTCAGGAGAATTGTCAACAATGACTCTTCCAGCTCCAAATGCAATCGACATTTGCGCCCGGTAATATAATACAATATAATCGTGTTGAAATTCTTCACAATTTCAAGTTACCTCCAATTTTTTTAAACCAAATTGTCATGAATAATAGAGTGATTTTTATAATGCAATGTAGTTGCAACTTATAGAGTACTAACAAAAACAGGAATCTACATAGTTTAGTCAAATAATCAGAAGGACTCCCTTTTCTGCTTATTGATCTTAGTTAATAATAATAATAATAATATGAAGTACAAACAACCAGCAATTTGATAAACATTGGCAAAAGCTAGCTAGTGTTTTAGTTCACACCTTTCCTGTAATTTCAAGAAAATCAAGCACAAAACTCAATGCTTATTATTTAGCTAATTAATAGCTCCAAAATATTTGATCAGATGAAAGCTCTAATTCAGGGGTGATAATTTTTATTTATTTATTTATTTTTTCTGTTGTTATGGATTTCTGTATAAAGCAGCTGATATCAATGGTGTGATGTCCCTATCTTTTATTATTATTATTATTTTTTTTTTTGGGTACAGGACCTTTCGGTTTCCGGATCCACAGGGGAACCGACTAACCCGGAATTGAGCTGGGTAGGACCACAAGGGCGGCAAAGCTCTCCCTCAAGAGTTTCAACATTGCTGCATTCCCAGGGCTCGAACACGAGACCACTGGTTAAGCTGGAAGAGACCCAAACCATCTCATCCAAGTACTCTTGGTCCCTATCTTTTATTTTTAGGTGGGCTTGCATACACTGATCTAAGACATGCTTTATTTGAAATCTTAAGCAAATAATATAAAAATCAGATGGCATACTATTTTTCAACATACTTTCTAGTAGAAAGTGTCTCACACTTGTAAATAAAAGTATGATATTTGATACCATAAATATATATATTTTTTTTTCCACAAAGTATAAAGAGAAGACCAATCTAACAATTAGGTCTTCTTACACAATAATTTGTGTATAGTAATTAGGGTTGCAAATGAATTGAGTTAAATAACATGAGCCTCTTAACAAACCTAATAGCTCAAACTCATTTATTGCTAATGTTAGTCATCCCAACCAAAAGGCCCAAAATGATCATGTATATGTACAATACAAACATGTTAACATATTTCATATTTCTAAATATATATATATATATATATATATATATTCGGTGCAGTTTGGTTAAAACCGCATCATTCGAACAAAAAACCGAACAACACCGAAACTTGTGCGGATTTTCAAAATTTTAACCACACCGAAAACCGAACCGAACCGCACCGAATACATCGGTTCGATTCGGTTTTTCGGTTTCGGCTCAGTTTTGCTCACTCCTATACGCAAGCAAGCCCCATCCTCTACACAGAGTCGGAGAAGATTTCAATCCTAACTTCACGAGGTTTTTTACCATTAAATTACACACACTCACAACCCGGTGAGGGCAGTTGGACACGAATTTTCCTAGAATGAGAACCCAAAGAAAAAGCACAAAGGATGACAGTTCACAAAGGTTAAAACTTCTTTTTCCTAGAAAACTCCCTAAGCATAAATCAGATTTTTATTTTTTCTTGCACATCAGTGATTTCAGATAAATTTTGTGTGTGTGAGTGTGATATTAAGGTCTGTGTATGGTGTCTCTAGACACACATATAAACAAGTTAAAACGTTATAAGTATCCACACAAGAAGAGTGATGTATCATGAAGCCTAGAAAAGCTGTACAGTCCCCACAAATGATAACTCAAAACGAAGAAAAAGGAAAAGAAAAAGATGAACTTTCCAAAGACATTTGGACAAGCAAGTCGAGGTCAATAATATGTGGGTTCTAAAAAGCTTCTCCTCATAGAAGACTAGCAATAACATAGTGACAATATGAAGCACGTGCTAAAATTTCCTCTTCTTTTCCGACATAGAGTCAGCACTTGCATCAAACCGTTGCGAAAATATGAGTTCTAAAAGAAAGCACAAAACATGCATCTGTGTGTCTTACTTCTCTCTTTCTCCGTTTTTTTCCCCAGCAATACGAACTTGAAATCACCAATTTTTTTTACACTACTTTCATTTAAAAAGTCACTTTTCTCAATTTAACATCATATATGTCTTGGTTGGGAGCAATCGGGCTCTACTTCTCGTTAGAGGAAAAGTACGTTGTACTTCCTTTACCTTGTCAGGATGGCTTCCCATTTTCTGCTTGGGGTTTACTTTCTCACGACCAGAAAGTGTCTGATCGGGGGTCAAGTCCACATTCGAGCCCTCACCACAACCAAAAGCATCATCACATTTGTTTTTCAATATTTCATCAAAAATATTCCCGCACGAGTTACTGGTTCTGTTACCTCCAGGGTTCAAATCTTCACCATTGGATATGGCTGCATATTCTTCCCAGTAATATGGAAACCCAATTTGAAAATTTTCGCACAACTGAAAAATAAAAAATAAAAAAAAGAAAGGCATAACTGTCTACTGATTGAAAATTGTCTTACATAATTTTACTCTAATTTTAAGAACATTTAACAAAGAATGAGTCTCGGATAATAATACCTCACGCGAGAAGCCATTTTCGACTGAGCGAGACATATTGAGATGTCCATGGAGCAGAACTGTTATGCCATCAACTGTTTTGAGAGTAACAGCATCATGCCTCGTCACAATGGGTGCAGAGCAGAAGCTTCTTATCCCTCGGCTCCTGCATTATCTGAAAGTCAAGAAACTGAAAGGACGAAAATCGAAATTTAAAACCTACTTAGAAGAAACAATGTTAAAACTCCGCATGCATGGTCCAACATACACCAAAGGAAAAATTAACATGTCAAATCAATTCACACACTGCATCTTCATATTTGCACTCCAACAAACACGAAATATGCTTATTTATTATACACTAATACTCAATAGATGAGACTTGTAGCCGTTATTTGATTAATTTTTGGTTACTGCATAACAAATTCATAGAACCTTCGTATATGGACTCCCAAATTTACTCAAACTGGCATAATATTGCCATTGTCTCATATATCTGTTTTGATCTTACCGATATTTAGATTCCATAACTACCAGTTCATATTAAACGTTATAGTCAGCATCTGCTTTGCAATGACTAAAGAGCTAAGAATTTCGAAATCTTCGCAATATACATTTTGACCAATCTAGATATCTTTATACCACAAGTCCAGTCCTCGAACCATCATTTTAACCATCAGTATTCAGTAGAGTCACTAATGTGAAGGATTTCAGAGCTACACATTTAGAATCCAAAACCAAAAAAAAAAAAAATCCACTCGTCTTGTCCAAGTTATTCAGTTCTTATACATCTGAAAACTTTACCACTGATATTAGCCTGCCTTTTCCTATGCACTAAACTCAAGACGGTTCCCAAGTTCAAATCCACCATCCAAGCACAACCAGATATAAATGTTAAATACAACAAAACACTAATCTCATCCAAAAACCTTTTATAATGAAATTCCCTTTAGGCAAACCATACATACAGATAACAATACAAAGGAACCCAAAGATAACCGACTTTTTACTTTTAGCTCTCATAAATTAGGCGTTTCTACGAGTAGGAAACAAAACCACCAGCTTAAAACCAATCTTCCACAAACCCTATTAGTTGACAATATCTTTTTTTCTTGTTAAGTAATAGCACACCCAAATCAATGTATCAAGGATGCAAGATGTAGAAGATAAACCTCTCTTTGGAAGTTAAACCTCCAACACCTAATCGCTTTCCATCGAAACCTGAATCGGCTTCCACAAGCCACCAATCGTGCAAGAAAACCTGCATCAACACCACAACAACTTAAAGGCTCAGTAATTACTGCCGAACGACAAATACAACCGGAGAACAAAAAAAACGTGAACGGCACAAACTTGTTTCAACAAGGAAGAGGAAATGGCGGTGTTGGGGCTGGTAAATGGAGTTGACGGTGATTCCTTAAGACGCTTTTTCCTGCAGATAAAACCTTCTAACGGCGTTTCCATATATATATATGTATATATACAATTCCGCTTTACAGGCGAGTGTTATTCTGCTTTTGTTCTTCTCGTCACAGGGAAAATCAAGAAGCAAATGAACAGATGAGCTCGTGCGAGTATCAGAACCTCTAATCGGAAAATTCGATGTAGATCCTATAACCTATAACCTCCACAGTAGATAAAATTAACGATTGGCCCTTGTAGGGATATTGGAGATACGATCTTCGAAATGAAAAAAATGAACAACTCACCGTCGCATATCGGCGGAAGACTGCCGCCTACGCCCACCGGAAAATAAAAACTCACACCGTCGCACATTGGGATGTGTGTTGAGCAAAGGTAAAGGAAATGTAAAATTATTTTGTTTGTTTGATTTGGTATTGGAGGGACTTGGTCACTTAAAGAGGGTGAAATAATCTCCGATTGTTTATGTATTCAACTATTTTTTATTTGGTTTATTTTTTAATTATAGTTGATTTGAAAAAATATGATATACTTAGATGTTAATGTATATATTAATACTGTCAAGTGTGCGACCCGAATCGACCACCGGATTAGTCGGGGCATAGCTCCGGATATCGTGGTTGGCTAAAAAAAAAGAAAAAGAAAAATTATTGAAAATGATAGTTAGTTAAAACTATGTGAGTGAATAACATAATTATTAATAAAATGAAATGCATACACATCATAAATTTAAACACAACTATGATATTTTTCTTATGTCATTAAGAAAATGCAAGTTGAGATTCAAATCCTAGAATCGTTCATGAATTCGAAGTAAGCTATAACAACTATACTAGAAGTTAAGAATTCAAAAAAAGAAAAAAAAAAAGGATATCAATGTTCTTTAGAAACGGGACCGCAAAACTAGTGAAAACACATCAAATATGATACAAAATGAGTATCATGAACTTTATTTTGTAAAAGCACCAGACTTTAATTTTGGAAAAAAAAAAAAAAAAATATTACGTGATTTTTATGAAGATGAATCTTTAAAAATTATAATCCAATCTACTCTTAATTTCTGGATCCGTCCCTGGTCATACCTATCAAAATGTTTAGTTACCAAATTATTAATTTTATTGTTTAAAAAAATGTATTTTTTGTATATCTATTTGTATGTATAGTTAGTAGATGTGCGGGTAGAGATGTTAAACGGTCCTTGGCCCGACGGGCCGGCCCGTTTAGCCCGGAAAAAAACAGGATTAGGGCTTTTTATTGGTAGCCCGTTTAAATCAGGGCTTTTTCCGGACCGTTTAGCCCGAAACCCGCTAGGGCTGACCCGTTTAACTTGAGTTGGACGTTGTAAATATTTGCAGCAAGTAAGTAATATACTCTTAGATTCATTGTATATTAAAATTTTGTTATTCCACTTCACATATAAGTATGAGTTGTAACGGATTATATTGATTTTGAAAGATAATTATTAACAATATTCTTATTGTACTCCACACCAAAATATTTAACTCAATCAGAACGACTAATAGGAAACAAATGAGACAAAGACCTAACACATGAAACATAGTGATAGAATTTATAGTGATATAATATCGTAAAAATTTCCAAAGCGTAAAAAATATAAGTAGTGAAATGGTAATTGTATGTAATAATTTGAATATTTTTTTCTTTTGAAAAAAAAAATATTATTTAAGAGTTTGTAGTATGTGTTCATATATGATGTGTAGTTGTATATATAGAGCAGCAAATAATAAATACCGTTGAAAACAATCGTTAATTAGTCGTTGTAATTTTTTATAATTTTTTTCTTTTTATTTTTGATATTTTTTGATACATTATTAGTAATACTATTATTAAAGCCCGTTTAGCCCGTTTAGCCCGAAGCCCGCTAGGGTTAGGGTTAGGTCCTTTTATTGGTAGCCCATTTAAATCTGGGCTTTTTAGGCCCGGACCGTTTAGCCCGAAGCCCGCTAGGGCTAGCCCGTAACCGCTAGGGCTAGCCCGTTTAACATCTCTATGTGCGGGTAACAACCAAGTAAAATAATTAACTGGGCAAAAAAATACCCATCGCGAAAATGAGTTTATTTTCATAAAGCTCGTAGTATGAGAAAAGTAAAAAATACATGACCCACAACTCGATATTTTTGGCCCGATCCAATTTTCTCAAATTACCTACTGGTAACACCAACCCTGTGATTTTTTTTTTTTTTTTTTTTTTTTTGACAAGCCTAGTCGTCGATGGTCTTTTGTTCATGGCCTTCAGAGCCGTCAAAACGGGCTTAAGTCCGTAAGATGGCCTGCCCTGGCCGACCGGAAGAACATATTGGGCTGATATTTTTTTAGGACCGTGAGGGAGCGTGCCTAAACAATATCTACCGAGCTACTGCGGGGTGAGCTAAAACTGCAATTTTAGAGATATTTTCACCTTTTGTTGTCTTGCATATTGTTTATGATGTTGAATCTCCAGTTTCTTGGCTATGGGTTGTCTACCTGGGCATGGCAAGGTTTTGAGCCTCCAATCTAGTTAGGCGTGTATTCTGCAATTTTGAGTTTGCGTCTTGTACCAAGTCTATGTCATTGTGGGCGGTTGCTCGTGGGTGTCGGCGTCGTTTTTGTTTGGTTTGGTTTCGCTGCTGTGGGAAGGACATTTATTCAGTTACTGTTGTGTTTTTGTTGTTTTGTTTGTTTGTGCCGCAAGTGTGCGTCTGTGTTTTTTTTTTCTCTGTTTTATGAGTGTCTATTCTCCCGTTGGGAGTGCGTATTCTTCCGGTGAAAAGTATTTTGTGTGTTTGTAGTATTCTGTCGTGGCATTTAGGCTCTCAATTGGTTGTAATTATGTATTTTTAGTAATGAATTGTATCATATGAAAAAAATAAATAAACATATAAATAAATATGTTGATGGACTTGTTATCTTGAAACTCTAGATACCAAAATTTGACCCTCATCATATTCAAGACCTACATTATCCATGTCCCTAGTGCTAAAATCCAGCCAGCCATCGAAAATGAAACATCCAAAAACACCCAAAAAAATATGAACCAGAAAAAAAAAATTCCCAAACCAATCCATGAAATGAAACCTCTCTCTCTTTCCAAATTCTGAAACTGCTGGGTCATTTTCCTTCAATGGAGACCATTCTCTCACCTCGCTCTCTCACCCCACTTTTCAAGACTCCTCCTTTTTCCTCGATCCAGCCCAGATCATGCTTCGGGCTCAAGCCCGTTTGCTGCAACCTCAAAAAGCAACCTTCACTGTCGGTTGAGCAATTTTCTCACAAGCCCGCGGGCTGGGTTGCTAACGTGCACCAGGGGCTGGCCGCGCTCGCCATCTCGTTGGCCCTCAATTTTTCGTTGCCGATTTTGGCGGACTCTGCACTTGCGTCTGAGTTCGATGTTCTGAACGATGGCCCGCCTACGGAGTCGTACGTTGTTGATGATGCCGGCGTGCTTAGCCGGGTGACGAGGTCCGACTTGAAAAGTTTGCTTTCGGATTTGGAGTCCAGGAAAGGGTTCCACATTAACGTTGTCACTGTTCGCAAGCTCACTGTAAGTGCTTTTGATGTATGCCGTATATTTGTGTCTTGTGCGTGTGTGTGTGTGTTGTGAAACGAGCTATTTAATTGGAATGTTGGCCCTTAGGCTATGTTTGGTTCAAAGGAGGGGAGGAGAGGGGAGGGAATTTAATGGAAGGGAGGGGAGGGAAAGTAATTTTATCTCGTTTGGAGAGATTTGTAGGAGTGGAGGTGAAAGAAAATGATTAACCTCGTTTGGTTAAAAGATGAAGGGGGAGGGAAAATAAAATTACATGGACAAATATACCCTTATTTATTATATAATATTATATTTACAAGACATAAAACTGGAGGGACATATTTTGTAATTATAATGAATTGAGAAGGACATATTAGTACAAAAACTTGTAAGATTTAACTTCCCCTCCAAATTGCCCCAAAATTGGAGGGGACTTCATTTTCCCTTGGGTGGGAGAAAAGAGGGGAAAATTTTACTCCCCTTCCTTACCAAAAATTAAACCAAACAAGGAAAAATAAAAATATTCCCTCCCCTCCCTTCCCCTCTCCTCTTATTCCCCCGAACCAAACATACGCTTATGGTGGGCTTTCCAGAGGTATAAAAGAGCTATTGAGCCGTCGCTGGTCCCCGAACCAAACACACGCTAATGGTGGGCTTTCCAGAGGTATAAAAGAGCTATTGAGCCGTCGCTGGGAGGTCTCTATTTCCCACTGATATCGGGAAGCTAATAGCGTCGCGGATTTTTTGGCTTCACTGGCCGCCAAAGGGCCGAATGGTTTGTTCACACTTGAGCACCCTCCTCCGGGGGCAAGTATGTGGTTGAACCACAATAGATTGGGGGTTTCTATCCCGAGATCGGTTATCATTTAGGCATACTGGCTCCTTCTTTGTACCAAAAAAAAAA